TCGTCCAAAGCCGTCGCCGCGACGAGCCCGCAGAATTCCCAAGCGTACTCCACGAAGGGGAGATCTCTGCGGGCTAAGGTGGCGATTTCCATGATCGCGGGGGAAAAACAGGGAAAACAAAAAAGGGGAGAAGGAGCGCCGTTTACTTTTTTGTTTGGTCTGGAATTCTGTCACGGTTCGCCACTGTGAGGAGCACAGAGCGAAGAACAAGGAGACGCAGAGTCGAATTCAAACTTATTGACTTTAATAATATCCAGGGAAACAGGAAAACACATGTAGCAAGGGTTGACATCAACAATTCCAGACAAGGGAGAACAGAACGGGCTAGAACTCAAATAGGGCAGATAACGAGGGGCAGACAGGTGAGGAGGATAGCTAATAATGAGAAACACCTGGAACTAATAGAACTAAATGGGGACAGGAACAGGAAGGACCAAATAAGAACAAACAGGAACTAAACGGGAACATACACGTGACATTTACATTAACTAGTTTAATTTACATGTGCAATTTACATGTTACATATGCAACTAACTTTATGTAAATATTTTTTGCATACTTTTAATTTTATTTTAATGTACATTGGGGTCCAAAAGTCTACTAGTGAAAATGCTTCTGTTTTCAATGTCATCTCAGTCCTTTCTCAGACCAATTCTTATATAAAAAAATACAAATTATAATTTATCATTTTAAGTTTATATATATATATATATATATATATATATGTAATTTAAAATCTTAATATGTAAAATTATAAATAATAAAAAAATTACTAATAATTTAATAATATATAAATTGATTGATATAATCCAACTTACCCAGGTCAGCAAAGGCCATAGCCTTATTTCCTGAGCCACACCACAGAGTTCCTGGAATCATCCATGCTCGCTTTGAGCGGTGCAGTGTCTGCATGGAACTTTCTCCACTGTCCTGGTGCACGAATCCATCAGGTCCAACACTCCTCAGGTCTCTGGCCCTCCGTACAGATGCTGTAAATTCCTCCGTAATGCCTGCAGCCTCACAGGGGCCATGAGGATCAATCAGTTCACTGATGTCAAAGCGTGCATCAAGCATCTTTGAGAAAGAACTGTCTTCCCAGCACCTGGACAGGTAACTGTCAATCACAGATTGCTCATCACTTGTTATGCAGGTAAAAAGGCTGTTGTTTTTGTTCCAGATGCTGTCATACAAGAGAAGAGACGTCTGAGTCCTTCGGAGAAATGCATACTGTGTTTGCCCACCTGAAGTGGATCTAGTCCAAGAACAGAAAGTGCTGCTTTTCTCAGAATTGTCAGCACTGAAACAAGCATGAAACAGCATGAAAAGGTATAAAACTGCCTGTAAAAGGTGATTGCTTTGCATTTTTTTTCCTGCAAAATGAATAATTGTACAACAATTTTGTGTGTTTTTTAGAATGAATGAATGAATAGCCAGAGGTGCTGAAGGATAACGGGTTTTAATCCCTCATCTCTGGCAAAGAGCGCGCCTCAACCCCTTCTTATTTATACTTCGATCCGTATGTGGGATTTTCCTTGCATTGTGGCTCGTGGCCACATCAGAGCAGACGGGGTGGGATGACACAAGGGGGTGTGTCTTTGGTAAATACAGACTTGGAAGCACAGATGTCTACACACACATGTACATAAAAGATGTAAATCAGATTGTAAATCCTCCCCGTTTCCTGGGCTCACATTAGTATAATTATCTCTCCGGCTGATGACTATCATTTTTTATTAGTGTCAACAATGCCCTCAGCAGTAAACATTTAATATCTTATTACTCATGATGAAATGATTCTTTACAACATGACAAAAAGATTCAAATTCCACGTGGGAGGAGAAAGAAACATGTGATCCAAAACTATTACATTTATGTGTTCAGGTTAAATTAGGTCAGCATTTTTATTTTGTGCATTAATATATTCCATTTTTATTAAATATCACCAAGTGCTTATTTATTTAGCATGCTGAAAATTTACCGGTCATGAATATTTATTACTAGCCACAAATCATATTTTGCATTTATTTACATATTTATGCAAAATAAGCCCCTAAAATAATTACTTAGTTGGATTTTTATTGCATATTAATAACAAACATATTCCTTATGGGCAATTCCTTTCTCTCGGTGAAACTGCAGCTGTCACAAAAATCGTAAAGAAAAAATGAGTTTTGGTTCCTCATTTTTTCATTCTGCTGACTTAATGTCCAGAATATTTCACGTGTCATAACATCGAGTTCCATTTTAAAAAATGTAAAGAATACTTCAACCAGGCGAAATAAATTTGATATCAGATTTTCCACTTTGATAAAAGTAGAGAAAGTGCAAAAGTTTCTCTTCAGAAGGCGGTCTGTGTGTCTTTGATCTGAAATGCTCATATCAGCGAGTTTCAGATTAATATTGCATTTTAAATCATGTATTGTCTTTTCAGTTCCTAACAAAGTTACCAGCCATCTGGCCAATTTATATGCCAATCTTTATTTCCATCTGGGACTTGGCAAGTATTAATTTTGAACCCATTTACATTGCTGCAGGAGGCTGCAGTGTTTACATGAGGATGCAAAGGTCACATGTGTTTGTTGTACGTGTCCGCCCGCGCTGATTGGAGCAGACCTCGCCTGATTCGCACAAAGTTTCTGCCCTGTCACCATTGGATGCGGTCCTAATCAGTTAACCATTACAGCACTTTTATTGCTGGTACTTCCGCCAGTAAATGTAATTCTAAATCTGTCAAATGAGGAAAAACACAAGCTTGAGGAAACTAAAGAAAATTACAAGATCGCTATCAAATGAGAAGCTAAAAACGTTTGCTTTCAGCAATTACTTTACTAAAAGGTAGAATGCTCTCAGAGGAGTACTTGTACTGACTCTTAGCTCAATTTGGAATAATTGCAATTATGCCATTACAGTCAAAACCCTGGTGAGCTGGAATTTTTTTATGTGCTTTTTTTCTTTCTTCAATGCAGGGTAATGGATATTCATTCAAAACAGCCTTAAGAAAGACACATGGAAAATAGACTCATTCTGAATATGAGAAATTAGTTAGCATAATATGTTGAGTGAGGTTATTTTTATGTTATTGAAAGTGATGCGTGTTATTTCTGCACCATTATCGCCCGCAACAAGAATTGAAAAAAATAATGTTTTCTAACAGGTTTCCCAAAAACTCCCTTTATCTGCCATTGCCGGTCAGTCAAACAGATAACCCTGCCCCCAATATTACACCATCGGTTGAGTCAGTGTTGCTGTATCAACCAACAAAGAGGTTTAAAGAAACAGAACTATGTTTTGATAGTGCCATAGACTGTCAATGTTTACATTTTCGGGTAAACCAACCCACTTACAGGAAACTTTGTCATAAAAATGACCTTATACAGTGCTGCAGTGATGACGTATAGGATTTTTTCCATTGGCTTTTGGATTATTGCAGAAAATAAGCTCTGTGATGAACAAAACTTTATGATTCTTACATATGTTGTTCAACATGATAGTCATCACAAATTAACGTAACTTCTATGATTTTTGAAGCATAAATACAGTTGCCCGAAGTAGAAAGCTAGATGTAGGCTATAAACGAACTACACGACTTCAGTGTCACCTCACCACCATTAACTCTCTGTCTTTATTTAAATACATTTTCTCTAAAAGTTTGAGTTCGAATAGTTTGCAAGAGCGAGATTATAACTGCAAAAGCGGTCAGACCTTAGTTTCAGTAGTCATGTCAAAGCAGTAACTAAATCAGCATACTATCATCTCAAAAACATTGCAAGAATTAGATGTTTTGTTTCCAGTCAAGACTTGGAGAAACTTGTTCATGCCTTTATCACCAGCAGGGTGGACTATTGTAATGGTCTCCTCACTGGCCTTCCCAAGAAGACCATTAGACAGCTGCAGCTCATCCAGAACGCTGCTGCTAGAATTCTGACTAGAACCAGAAAATCTGAGCATATCACACCAGTCCTCAGGTCCTTACACTGGCTTCCAGTTATATTTAGGATTCATTTTAAAGTATTATTACTTGTTTATAAATCACTCAATAGCATAGGATCCTGAATACATTGCAGATATATGTTCACTGAATATAAACCTAACAGACCACTCGGATCATTAGGATCGAGTCAGAAATACCAAGGGTTCACACAAAACAAGGGGAGTCCGCTTTTAGCTGTTATGCCACCTGCGGTTGGAACCAGCTTCCAGAAGAGATCAGATGTGCTAAAACATTAGTCGTATTTAAATCCAGACTCAAAACACTTGTGTTCAAGCTGTGCATTTACTGAATGAGCACTGTGCTACCTCTGAACTGATTGTACTGTATTTTATGTATCATCTTTTATTCTTAACTGTTTTAATTCATTTAAATCCATTTTTAAATCATTTTAAAATTTTAATTCCTTGCTTTTATTGTTGTGATTATTTTTATGTTTATTTTAATTCCTTTTATGTTAAGCATTTTGAATTACCAATGTGTATGAAATGTGCTATATTAATAAACTTGCCTTGTAGACGGTTAAAGTCCCGAGAACCTCTCTAGTTCCATTTAGACACTTGTTAGCAACTGCCTTTCTTAAGACTAGTAAAAGCTTAAAAAAAAAAAACAAGTGGGTATTACTGATGTATTTTATGTCATGGAATAAATCATGAAAATATCTCGAGCTTGTGTTCACCACAGATCTTATTTAAGGCATTTAACTAAAAACCCCATTGACTTCACGGCAATGGAATCGGAAGTACTAAAATGCAAAACTGTTTCTGGGCTTTTGCCTACAAAAATATGCCATCAGCACTCTATTAAGTCATGATTTAAAAAAAAAAAACAAGTAACACCCACGCTGTAAAAACAATTCTGTAAAATTTACGGTAAAAAAAACTGAATTTTACTGTAAAAAATATGGTAGCAACGTTTTAGGTTTTACGGGTTTAACTTAAATTTACAGTTAAATACCATAATTTTATTAACTGATATAATGTTAATATACCAACCTATTGAAGTACTGAAATCTGTTTTGTACCTTTGTAATACACTGATAACCACCAAATGCAGGTGGTGATGAGAAAGTCACACGATGAACCAAAGCCCATCACAAGCAGCTTTTAAATAATAACGTATATAGAAGGTGCACAGTGTCATTCACACAAACACTAAACACCATAATGGTAACACACATGAAACTGAAATAATGCAATAAACATTCATTTAACAACATTAGGTGTAACACACAACCTTAATATACAAAACTGATAAGAAAAAACTAAGAAGAAACTTAGTTATTTTAACAAAAAAAACATAAAACTTGAAATGTAACGCAGGGAATTCTGGAAATGTTAATTTACGGTTATTCACTGTAAATTATACGGTCTTTTTCACTTCCAAAAACGGTATACTACCGTAAAATTAATGTCCAATACATGTAATGTCCAATACAGTTTTTCACCGTATATAGTAGGGGAATTTACCGTTAACCATTTAACAGGTTTTTACTGTAGCATTTTTACAGTCTTTTACCGTTAAATTCACGGTCATTTTTTACAGTGCACCCACCGACTTTGGACCTGTAAGTTTAAAATTTGTCAATTTTAATTTTGGTGCCACTATGACTTCAACATACTTTTCTGCATGTAAAAATACATGCATTTAGGTCTAATAGGCAAAAAGCAAAGAAGTGTCCTGTCAGCTTGAAGGGAACATTGGGTTTATCTGTTACATAATGATGTATGTAAACATGACAGCAATAGATGAAAGACCCAGGGAAGTCTAATTCCTCATCACTGTTCGAAAGTAGAGCTTTGGGAATGATTTTAAAGAACATGACCTTGAAAGATAGTATACTAACATCAGACACAACACCAAAAACCCAGCCTTCGCATGACACCTCGAACCATAGACTTAGAGTTCACCTGATGACCTTTGTTCCAGTTTCCAGAAGGCTGTAGAAAGATTAATTAGTTCACGTCACTGATTCATAGGCAACAGCTGAGAACACTTTATTGGGTATTGTGAATTAACAACACCATTTTCATAACTGTAAACATGTTACAGAAATAAATTCAAACAACACAATGATAATGCCGTATAATTAGGGAACACGTCCATTAATTCCATGCACATTACAACAGGACATTTCCATATGTAGTTGATGCAATATTGAACTTGGACAACCTGCCATTTACTGGATACAACTCTAATACTTTTCTAAACTTTATAGTCACAATTTATTTTACACAGTCTTTCTCATCTGTGACATACTGATTGAAACATAAACGAATAAAAGACATATGCAAGGACAGCGTATATTTCAAATGCCAAACAATAGTGTGTACAATAGCATTTCACATGCTATTTTACTTAAAGAACTAGTTTTACATGAGTAAAGTCCATTTTTTTCCCAGTGTCCTTGAGTAGATTTGGTTGCAGGGTTTAATGACTAATATATTTGCGTCACATCTGTATTCATTAGGTTTTGTTCTTTAAGGCATTTACTGAGTG